AACTATTGAGCACCAGCTTGGTTTGGTGCCCTTTGCTGCTTCTGGGCCGAACTGTGGTCCTTCTGTCGCCTCCCGTCCCTGACCTCACGTGTTATCAACCTTGATTAGAAACTGTTGAGCACCAGCTTGGTTTGGTGCCCTTTGCTGCTTCTGGGCCGAACTGTGGTCCTTCTGTCGCCTCCCGTCCCTGACCTCACGTGTTATCAACCTTGATTAGAAACTATTGAGCACCAGCTTGGTTTGGTGCCCTTTGCTGCTTCTGGGCCGAACTGTGGTCCTTCTGTCGCCTCCCGTCCCTGACCTCACGTGTTATCAACCTCGATTAGAAACTGTTGAGCACCAGCTTGGTTTGGTGCCCTTTGCTGCTTCTGGGCCGAACTGTGGTCCTTCTGTCGCCTCCCGTCCCTGACCTCACGTGTTATCAACCTTGATTAGAAACTGTTGAGCACCAGCTTGGTTTGGTGCCCTTTGCTGCTTCTGGGCCGAACTGTGGTCCTTCTGTCGCCTCCCGTCCCTGACCTCACGTGTTATCAACCTTGATTAGAAACTATTGAGCACCAGCTTGGTTTGGTGCCCTTTGCTGCTTCTGGGCCGAACTGTGGTCCTTCTGTCGCCTCCCGCCCCTGACCTCAGGTGTTATCAACCTCGGTTAGAAACTATTGAGCACCAGCTTGGTTTGGTGCCCTTTGCTGCTTCTGGGCCGAACTGTGGTCCTTCTGTCGCCTCCCGTCCCTGACCTCACGTGTTATCAACCTTGATTAGAAACTGTTGAGCACCAGCTTGGTTTGGTGCCCTTTGCTGCTTCTGGGCCGAACTGTGGTCCTTCTGTCGCCTCCCGTCCCTGACCTCACGTGTTATCAACCTTGATTAGAAACTATTGAGCACCAGCTTGGTTTGGTGCCCTTTGCTGCTTCTGGGCCGAACTGTGGTCCTTCTGTCGCCTCCCGCCCCTGACCTCACGTGTTATCAACCTCGGTTAGAAACTATTGAGCACCAGCTTGGTTTGGTGCCCTTTGCTGCTTCTGGGCCGAACTGTGGTCCTTCTGTCGCCTCCCGTCCCTGACCTCACGTGTTATCAACCTTGATTAGAAACTGTTGAGCACCAGCTTGGTTTGGTGCCCTTTGCTGCTTCTGGGCCGAACTGTGGTCCTTCTGTCGCCTCCCGTCCCTGACCTCACGTGTTATCAACCTTGATTAGAAACTGTTGAGCACCAGCTTGGTTTGGTGCCCTTTGCTGCTTCTGGGCCGAACTGTGGTCCTTCTGTCGCCTCCCGTCCCTGACCTCACGTGTTATCAACCTTGATTAGAAACTATTGAGCACCAGCTTGGTTTGGTGCCCTTTGCTGCTTCTGGGCCGAACTGTGGTCCTTCTGTCGCCTCCCGCCCCTGACCTCACGTGTTATCAACCTCGGTTAGAAACTATTGAGCACCAGCTTGGTTTGGTGCCCTTTGCTGCTTCTGGGCCGAACTGTGGTCCTTCTGTCGCCTCCCGTCCCTGACCTCACGTGTTATCAACCTTGATTAGAAACTGTTGAGCACCAGCTTGGTTTGGTGCCCTTTGCTGCTTCTGGGCCGAACTGTGGTCCTTCTGTCGCCTCCCGTCCCTGACCTCACGTGTTATCAACCTTGATTAGAAACTATTGACCACCAGCTTGGTTTGGTGCCCTTTGCTGCTTCTGGGCCGAACTGTGGTCCTTCTGTCGCCTCCCGCCCCTGACCTCACGTGTTATCAACCTCGGTTAGAAACTATTGAGCACCAGCTTGGTTTGGTGCCCTTTGCTGCTTCTGGGCCGAACTGTGGTCCTTCTGTCGCCTCCCGTCCCTGACCTCACGTGTTATCAACCTTGATTAGAAACTGTTGAGCACCAGCTTGGTTTGGTGCCCTTTGCTGCTTCTGGGCCGAACTGTGGTCCTTCTGTCGCCTCCCGTCCCTGACCTCACGTGTTATCAACCTTGATTAGAAACTATTGAGCACCAGCTTGGTTTGGTGCCCTTTGCTGCTTCTGGGCCGAACTGTGGTCCTTCTGTCGCCTCCCGTCCCTGACCTCACGTGTTATCAACCTCGATTAGAAACTGTTGAGCACCAGCTTGGTTTGGTGCCCTTTGCTGCTTCTGGGCCGAACTGTGGTCCTTCTGTCGCCTCCCGTCCCTGACCTCATGTGTTATCAACCTCGATTAGAAACTATTGAGCACCAGCTTGGTTTGGTGCCCTTTGCTGCTTCTGGGCCGAACTGTGGTCCTTCTGTCACCTCCCGCCCCTGACCTCACGTGTTATCAACCTCGATTAGAAACTATTGAGCACCAGCTTGGTTTGGTGCCCTTTGCTGCTTCTGGGCCGAACTGTGGTCCTTCTGTCGCCTCCCGCCCCTGACCTCACGTGTTATCAACCTCGGTTAGAAACTATTGAGCACCAGCTTGGTTTGGTGCCCTTTGCTGCTTCTGGGCCGAACTGTGGTCCTTCTGTCGCCTCCCGTCCCTGACCTCATGTGTTATCAACCTCGATTAGAAACTATTGAGCACCAGCTTGGTTTGGTGCCCTTTGCTGCTTCTGGGCCGAACTGTGGTCCTTCTGTCACCTCCCGCCCCTGACCTCACGTGTTATCAGCCTTGATTAGAAACTGTTGAGCACCAGCTTGGTTTGGTGCCCAGAGGCAGGTTTCCTGTATTCTTCACACTCTGTCTCATTATTCTGTATTCTTCGCCTAGAATCTGATGCCTGAGTCTTCCTTGATTCTACCCCTTACTCCAGGTTAAAACTTGATTTTTGACTGATTGACAACGATGCCTGGCAGTTTGGCTCAATTCTTCTGACTCTGGATTATACCCCTCCTCTAATTAACCCCACTTTAGAAACAGTTTAGAAAGACTTTGATAAAATAAGAGGATAACCTCCTGATGGCAAGAGACATTGTGGAAGAAGGTTTTTGATAGGAATTATTTAGAAAATGGATTTCCCTGATGGCTCAAGGGTAAAGAATCAGCCTGCAATGCAGGAGACACAGGACATGGGGGTTCGATCCCTGGATTGGAAGATCCCCTGGAGGAAATGGCAACCCACTCCAGTATTCTTGCCTGGGAAATCCCATGGACAGAGGAGCCTGGCTGGCTACAGTCCATGGGGCTGCAAAGAGTTGGATATGACTGAATGACTAAACACATTTAAAGAATATATCTCTGATGACCTCAAACAAAGCAGTCCAATCAGAGAGCTGAAACTTATTTTAGATGCCTTTTCTTCACCACAGATGGAAAAACACTGTAGTCTAGGGAGTTGAGATGTTTGTAAGAATTCACGCAGCTAGACAGTAGCAGTAATAGCACTTGAACACAGGTCTGAGATTGAGTTTCAGTTAGTCTTGCTCCTCTTTTTAAAAATTCGAGCAAAAAATGAGGATAATTTTGCCTCTGAAATATAAATACTGTCCTTCCTCTCTTTCCCCCTTGATTCCCTTCTGAGGCCGAGACGGCACGGGGCAGGCGGTTCTTTTAGTCATCGGGCTCTCTTAGCTGGTGCCCCAGATTTCCTTAGCCTTGGTGCCCAGTGTCCTTGAGCTGTTCCTGACTGTTTCTGCCTAGTGGGTGTTGCTCTCAACACTCAAATTGTGGTTCATTGTCTGAGACAGTGTCTCCTATTTTGGGACACTGAAGGGCCACCCTACATGCACCAAAGACTTATGCACTCTGTTTCCTTTAGTAATCATTTTCAGTCAAAAGGAAATGGATCAGAATGAGTTCATTAGTGAAATCAGAAGTATCTAAGTACTTAAGAAAGTACTAGGAAAATATTACTCATACTACTTTTTATTTAGTATTTATAACAACCCTATTAAAAGGAATTGAGGCTTTACATGTAAAGGGAAACTTCCAAATAGCACCATCTATCCAGTAAAAGATTTATTAATATAATTTACAACTAAATCTGTTAGATTCCAATGGCTATGCCCTTAATTACTATAATACACTGCCTTCTGCAAAAATCTTATTTGGAGGATGTTTCTTATTTTAATTTTCTCAATAACATTTGGAGGTAGATATTGTTATCCCCACTTTTGATATAAGGCAAGTTGAAAATTAGGCAAGTTAAGAAATTTGCTCAGAATATTAATGGTATGGAATTCAGATTCAAGACCTCCTATCTCAAGGCTTACATGTTTTATACTATGCAGTATTTTCTCTACAATAACAAAGAGAGAGATTGATTACAAAGTATTGTACAGACATTAATCCCAATTCTAATCTTCTTACATAGATTTTTATGGATGAAAGAATGTCAAAGAGGTAAGCATCTTACCCAATGAAAATAGCTGATGTCAGCACAAGCTGAATTTCTAGAAATGTTTTCAACTTTGAATTTCATGTTGCTATTACTAACCTGTATGGAGTTAGCTAGAATATTTGAAAACCAATTAGTTAATGCATTTAAGATGAAAGGCTGCAAAGCAGACCTGTTTCTGACAGCTGATTGGCCAAAGATGGGAGAAAATTTTATCAGGTGCTCTTTTGGGTCCCTCAGATTACTGAGCAGGCAGCCACACAGCTGTAGATGCTTCTCTTGCTGCTGCTGCTAAGTCGCTTCAGTTGTGTCCCACTCTGTGCGACCCCATAGATGGCAGCCCACCAGGCTCCCCCGTCCCTGGGATTCTCCAGGCAAGAACACTGGAGTGGGGTGCCATTGCCTTCTCTGACTTCTCTTGCTAGAGGGAGGAATAAAGTGTTTCTAAGATGACATTTGTTATTTCTTTTAGTTTTAAATACAGACAATGAAAGAAAGCAGAGAGATCAGTGGACATTCCTTTATTCCTATTACAAAGACCAAGCCTTTCCTAAGTGAAACCTTAAGCTTGAGCCAATATTTATAATATTACAGGCTATGAAGGTAATTTATTTTGTTTATACATCTTCCACTGAAGTAATCTATATATGAAAAGATTATCAATGGCGTAAATTCATCTTGCAACATTTGGTTTCAACTTCAGTAGTGTTATTTAAATTCTTTCCAGATAACAAGAAATTTCTTCAGTGACTGGTCTCTGTGGAAAATATTCCTGGCTTCTCTCTTAGCTTCTGTGATAACAACAGCAGTTGGAGTATTGATAGTGAGTCTGGTATATAATGGGAAAAATAATAGTCCCCAAATTGTTATACAACTACCTCAAAACCAGGGGACAGCTACAACCACAACTACCACGACTGCTGTTGCCACAAGTGCTGAAAGTACAACCACCACAGTTGCCACCACTTCAGCTGAACCAATTACCACAACTGCCACAACTACCACTGAGGCTACAACCACAACCACCACCACTGCTGCTCCCACAACTACTGAAAGTACAACCACCACAGTTGCCACCACTTCAGCTGAACCAACTACCACAACTGCCACGACTACCACTGAGGCTACAACCACAACCACCACCACGGCTGCTCCCACATCTACTGAAACAGCCACCACCACAGTTGCCACCACTTCAGCTGAACCAGCTACCACAACTGCCACGACTACCACTGAGGCTACAACCACAACCACCACCACTGCTGCTCCCACATCTACTGAAACTACCACCACCACAGCTGCCACCACTTCAGCTGAACCAACTACCACAACAGCTGCCACGACTACCACTGAGGCTACAACCACAACCACCACCACTGCTGCTCCCACAACTACTGAAAGTACAACCACCACAGTTGCCACCACTTCAGCTGAACCAACTACCACAACTGCCACGACTACCACTGAGGCTACAACCACAACCACCACCACTGCTGCTCCCACAACTACTGAAAGTACAACCACCACAGTTGCCACCACTTCAGCTGAACCAGCTACCACAACTGCCACGACTACCACTGAGGCTACAACCACAACCACCACCACGGCTGCTCCCACATCTACTGAAACAGCCACCACCACAGTTGCCACCACTTCAGCTGAACCAGCTACCACAACTGCCACGACTACCACTGAGGCTACAACCACAACCACCACCACTGCTGCTCCCACATCTACTGAAAGTACCACCACCACAGCTGCCACCACTTCAGCTGAACCAACTACCACAACTGCCACGACTACCACTGAGGCTACAACCACAACCACCACCACGGCTACTCCCACAACTACTGAAAGTACAACCACCACAGTTGCCACCACTTCAGCTGAACCAACTACCACAACTGCCACAACTACCACTGAGGCTACAACCACAACCACCACCACTGCTGCTCCCACAACTACTGAAAGTACAACCACCACAGTTGCCACCACTTCAGCTGAACCAACTACCACAACTGCCACGACTACCACTGAGGCTATAACCACAACCACCACCACGGCTGCTCCCACATCTACTGAAACAGCCACCACCACAGTTGCCACCACTTCAGCTGAACCAGCTACCACAACTGCCACGACTACCACTGAGGCTACAACCACAACCACCACCACGGCTGCTCCCACATCTACTGAAACTACCACCACCACAGCTGCCACCACTTCAGCTGAACCAGCTACCACAACTGCCACGACTACCACTGAGGCTACAACCACAACCACCACCACGGCTGCTCCCACATCTACTGAAACTACCACCACCACAGCTGCCACCACTTCAGCTGAACCAACTACCACTACTGACAGCACTACCACCGAGGCTACCACCACAACCACAACCACTGCTGCTCCCACATCTACTGAAAGTACAACCACCACAGCTGCCACCACTTCAGCTGAACTAACTACCACAACAGCTGCCACGACTACCACTGAGGCTACAACCACAACCACCACCACTGCTGCTCCCACAACTACTGAAAGTACAACCACCACGGCTGCCACCACTTCAGCTGAACCATCTACCACAACTGCCACCACTACCACTGAGGCTACAACCACAACCACCACCACTGCTGCTCCCACATCTACTGAAAGTACAACCACCACAGCTGCCACCACTTCAGCTGAACCAACTACCACAACAGCTGCCACGACTACCACTGAGGCTACAACCACAAACACCAGCACTGCTGCTCCCACATCTACTGAAAGTACAACCACCACAGTTGCCACCACTTCAGCTGAACCAACTACCACAACTGCCACGACTACCACTGAGGCCACAACCACAACCACCACCACGGCTGCTCCCACATCTACTGAAACAGCCACCACCACAGTTGCCCCCACTTCAGCTGAACCAGCTACCACAACTGCCACCACTACCACTGAGGCTACAACCACAACCACCACCACTGCTGCTCCCACAACTACTGAAAGTACAACCACCACGGCTGCCACCACTTCAGCTGAACCATCTACCACAACTGCCACCACTACCACTGAGGCTACAACCACAACCACCACCACTGCTGCTCCCACATCTACTGAAAGTACAACCACCACAGCTGCCACCACTTCAGCTGAACCAACTACCACAACAGCTGCCACGACTACCACTGAGGCTACAACCACAAACACCAGCACTGCTGCTCCCACATCTACTGAAAGTACAACCACCACAGTTGCCACCACTTCAGCTGAACCAACTACCACAACTGCCACGACTACCACTGAGGCCACAACCACAACCACCACCACGGCTGCTCCCACATCTACTGAAACAGCCACCACCACAGTTGCCCCCACTTCAGCTGAACCAGCTACCACAACTGCCACGACTACCACTGAGGCTACAACCACAACCACCACCACGGCTGCTCCCACATCTACTGCCACCACCACAGTTGCCCCTACTTCAGCTGAACCATCTACCACAACTGCCACCACTACCACTGAGGCTACAACCACAACCACCACCACTGCTGCTCCCACATCTACTGAAAGTACAACTACCACAGCTGCCACCACTTCAGCTGAACCAACTACCACAACTGCCACCACTACCACTGAGGCTACAACCACAACCACCACCACTGCTGCTCCCACATCTACTGAAAGTACCACCACCACAGCTGCCACCACTTCAGCTGAACCAACTACCACAACTGCCACGACTACCACTGAGGCTACAACCACAACCACCACCACGGCTACTCCCACAACTACTGAAAGTACAACCACCACAGTTGCCACCACTTCAGCTGAACCAACTACCACAACTGCCACAACTACCACTGAGGCTACAACCACAACCACCACCACTGCTGCTCCCACAACTACTGAAAGTACAACCACCACAGTTGCCACCACTTCAGCTGAACCAACTACCACAACTGCCACGACTACCACTGAGGCTACAACCACAACCACCACCACGGCTGCTCCCACATCTACTGAAACAGCCACCACCACAGTTGCCACCACTTCAGCTGAACCAGCTACCACAACTGCCACGACTACCACTGAGGCTACAACCACAACCACCACCACGGCTGCTCCCACATCTACTGAAAGTACAACCACCACAGCTGCCACCACTTCAGCTGAACCAGCTACCACAACTGCCACGACTACCACTGAGGCTACAACCACAACCACCACCACGGCTGCTCCCACATCTACTGCCACCACCACAGTTGCCCCTACTTCAGCTGAACCAGCTACCACAACTGCCACCACTACCACTGAGGCTACAACCACAACCACCACCACTGCTGCTCCCACATCTACTGAAAGTACAACTACCACAGCTGCCACCACTTCAGCTGAACCAACTACCACAACTGCCACCACTACCACTGAGGCTACAACCACAACCACCACCACAGCTGCTCCCACATCTACTGAAAGTACAACCACCACGGCTGCCACCACTTCAGCTGAACCAACTACCACAACTGCCACCACTACCACTGAGGCCACAACCACAACCACCACCACTGCTGCTCCCACATCTACTGAAACAGCCACCACCACAGTTGCCACCACTTCAGCTGAAGAAACTACCACAACAGCTGCCACCACTACCACTGAGGCTACAACCACAACCACCACCACTGCTGCTCCCACATCTACTGAAAGTACAACCACCACAGTTGCCACCACTTCAGCTGAACCAACTGCCACAACTGCCACCACTACCACAGAGGCTACAACCACAACCACCCCCACTGTTGCTCCCACATCTACTGAAACTACCACCACCACAGCTGCCACCACTTCAGCTGAACCAACTGCCACAACTGCCACCACTACCACTGAGGCTACAACCACAACCACCACCACTGCTGCTCCCACATCTACTGAAAGTACAACCACCACAGCTGCCACCAGTTCAGATGAACCACCTACCACTACTGACAGCACTACCACCGAGGCTACCACCACAACCACAACCACTGCTGCTCCCACATCTAGTGAAACTACCACCACCACAGTTCCCAACACTTCAGACGAACCAGCTACCACAACTGCCACCACTACCACTGAGGCTACAACCACAACCACCCCCACTGCTGCTCCCACATCTACTGAAACAGCCACCACCACAGTTGCCACCACTTCAACTGAAACACCTACCACAACTGCCACCACTACCGCTGAGGCCACAACCACAACCACCACCACTGCTGCTCCCACATCTAGCGAAACTGCAGCCACCACAGTTGCCCCTACTTCAGCTGAACCAACTGCCACAACAGCTGCCACCACTACCACTGAGGCTACAACCACAACTACCACCACAGCTGCTCCCATATCTACTGAAATCTGAACCACCACTTGAGCTGAACCAACTACCACAAACAACTGACTCCACTACCACTGAGGCTACAAGCACAGCCACCACCACTGCTGCTCCTACTTCTACTGAAACTACTGTCACTACAGTTGCCACCACTTCAGCTGCACCAACTACCACAACAACTGCCACCCCAACCACTGAGACTACAACCTCTATAGCCACCACTGTCTCCCCCATGTTTACTGAACCCCCAACTACCATAATTGTCACCACTTCAGCTGTACCAGCTGCCACAGCAGCTGCCACTGCTAATACTGAGGCTATGACCCAATAGCCACCACTGCTTCTCCTCCATCTGCTGAACTCCTAACTACCACTGTTGCTACCACTTCAGCTGAAACAACTTCTGCAACAGTTTCCAGCACTACCAATGAGTTTTCAACCACAATAGACATCACTAGGACCTCCACTCAATCCATAGCCATGGTACCATCTGCCACTTATACTTAGTGTACTACCACAACATCTACCAGTACTACCACTGAGGCTACAACCAGAACCACCATCAACCAGTATCCTTCTACAACTTCTGCTGAAAACACAGCCACAGCAACAACCACCTCCTCTTTTGAACCCAGCAGGAAAACACTTAGCACCATCTTTAACCTTACCCTGTCACCGTATCTCCAAACATTTCCTTTACTGAGGGCATTACCACAAC